ATCTCCAAGTGTTTGAGCATTTCTTAGTTCATGAAAACCAACTCTACTTTCATCGATAACGTCTCTAATTATAATAACTTTTCTGCATTTTGAACAATATACTTTATAAGCTTTTGACTCATTGTCATAGCCAATCAACGTACATTATATTGATTTACTGTCCGTTTTTCTATGTTCTTCCTTTGGACTATGAATATGAGCTTTTGTAACCATCTTTAGTTAGTTAGAACTCAAGTAGAGAGGTTACTCTAAATTTTGATATAGATACGCTAGCGTGCACAGGTCGTAGCTGGCACGTCAGCAATCCGCGCGCTTGATAGGTAGAGAGTAGGTTTGTTGGTTGATAGTGCCGCATCAGCGATCTGTGTGCTTGTTAGGTAAGTATTGAGTGTGTTAGTTAGTATGTTAGTTGGGAACATCATGTCATCCATCCACTAGGAGTGTGATGGACGGTGAGGATAAGATTTTAACTCCTTGTACTTGTTGGTGAAAGCTATATAAGGGATAGGAGAACCATTGTTGGTATCTCTCATCTTCAGAGTTTACGTTTTTATTTTTGAGTGAATTTCTCTCTAAACCCTTGTGTTACAACTATGCTTTCAAATATTCTAAGATGAGATAGATTGGGTTTAATACCATTGAATGTCTCAAACGATGTCTTTTCATGATTTGCTTTGATTAGAACGATCTTAACCAGAAGAGTTGCTATATTAATTGCTTCACTCCACAAAACCTCGATAGCTGAGCTTTGAGTGCCATTGTTTGAATCTTTTAGATTAGTATATGTTACGTTGTTCTACAACTCTATTCTACTGAGATGTTTGAGGTTGTGTCAATTTTTTTGTAATTCCTTCAAACTGCAAGTAGGCTTCAAACTTCTTGGACATATACTCGACTCCTTTGTTTGATATCAAAGTCTTGATCTTCTTATATGTTTGTATCTCCACAATTGCTTTGAAGATTGAAAATTCGATGTAGATTTCATTCTTTGACTTCATTAAGTAAACGAATGTCATTCTTGAATAATCGTCAGCGAAGGTTACAAAATATCTAGATTTCCTTGGTGAGGGACACGTCAAAGTTCCTACTACAACTATATGAACTAATTTTAGTTGTTCACTAGCTGTGTTGGCTGATAATCTAGGAAATCTTTCTCTTGACTGCTTACCATTCTAAAATACTATGCAAATTTTATGAATATCATCTACTCAAGGCAGTACTACTACATGATTCTTTTTAGAAAAACGACTAAATCCATAGAAATAGAGATGAACAAATCTGCGATGCCATAAACTTGCATCTGTTCATTTTGTCATGTTGTTTATCTCACCAGCTAATGAATTAAACATGAGTCTGCTACATTGCTCTTGACTACTTGTAGCTATAACCTGCTTGTTAACCAAGTCATCCATGATCTAACAATATCTCTGAGCAAATAAAATAGCATGCCCCTTATCTACAAGTTTTCTGACTGAAATTAAATTTTTGTGCATAAATTGTGTGTAGAGAATATTGTCCAGCTTTATTTCATAACTGTTTGCTAAAACGTGAGCATTCTCATGTCTCTCAACTCTATATTGTTCTCCTCCAGCTGCCATGACAAAATCTATCTTTTCAACCTTCATCAAATCTAATATTTCCTTATTTCTTGTCACGTCATTAGAAGCACCACTATCCATATAGCACTTGTAATTATGATGATCGTTCACATCATTGTAATGTTTTTAATCTGCGTCATGCATGATGGAGTTGATCTACTTGTGCTACTCTCCCAAAGTTACTCCTCCAAGTTTCCTGTGTGAGCAGTTAGAAGCAAAGTGTCCTTCCTTGCCACACATCAAACAAGTAAGATTGTTACGTTCACAAATCTGATGATAATGCTGGGTCGTAAAGCTCCTTCCTTCCATGTATCGATGATTACCAAATCCTCTACCAGTCCACTGAGAACTTTTATCTAAGAACTTCTATCATACTCACGTCTCATTGGTGCACGTTGCCACTGGAAAGCTAGAGCTGCATGTTCTTGTTCAAATCTTTGATTTCTCATGGTCTCTAGTTGATTTTTCTAGTCAGTGTCTTTCAATGAGAAGTTTGAAGATTGTCTTTTCAAAGGAAGTAAGCTCTTCAAAGCGGCAATGCCTTGAATAACTCCTTTGTAAGATTGTGGCAGTACATTAAGAACAATTGAAGCCATAGTCTTGTCATAGAACAAGTTTTCCTCTCCCATTGATGACAACTTGTTCTTCAACTCCCTTGCTTTTTGGATTTACTATGTAATCCATCCTCCCTCCATCATCTTGAGGTAATGTAGCTGCAGGAACAACATAAATGTTTGTACTTGATCATCTGACCGAAAATTTCTCTCCAACATTTGCCAAACATCAGCTGAGTCATCATTTTCAGACATTAAATCCACAAGAACATTACTAACAGACCTTGCATATGCTATGTTCTTCAGTTTTGTCAGTTGAATCTCGTTCACAAGTATGTCACTTATTGTGACAAGTGAACTTCCCACTTTCTTGATTTTGTTTGCAGTCACTTCTCACATGTCAAATTGTTTGAGCATGGACCACATCTTCAGTTCTAAAACATGATAGTTGGATTCTTCCACCAACTTGTTACAATCTACTGCTAGCGTAATCTTGCCATCTACATCCATGATGAGTTAATTTGCACAATGAAAAAATAAAACCTCATTTCAGAGAATTGAAGCAGAACTCACTATTTTTTCTATACTAGAATCCTCAACTTTGCTCTGTACCATGTTCAAAATCTAGTGCTCTATCTGATCAGCCTGCTTTTACTGTCAAAAAAGTATCTTATATACAGATATCGCAAGTCTCGGTTCACAGTACTGAGACATCTTGAGTTGCTTAATCACTACCTACTAAGTTTTTTATCTACTACTAGAGAGCGTTGTGAGTCCCGCCTAGGGCTATACAGCGGTGGGAGTACCATGTCATGCTTCAGGCATTTTTCTAACACAGTCGCATTGTTGGATATCTTTGAAGCATTCAATCTCATGGACCTTTGTTCATCCTGGACCTTACAGGAGTCCCGATACCAGCAAATATATCCAGAGGGACATGCAAGATCAAACACCTCCTCAGTATTTCTTGCATTGGTGCATGCCGGATCAGTGGACATGATGAACCAATTACTGCTAAAAATGATCAATGGCAAATTTCAAAAAAATTGAATCTGCATATGCTCGGACTCAAAACCACGAGAACTCGCTCACAAAAAAACCCGTCTTTGTGCTTGACCAATGCGAGCTTGCGTGCCTGAAATTTACAACCATCCTAAAAATTTTCCTTGTGTAAGAAAAAGTAGCTCAATATCAAGCTACCGAATTACTGAATCCAAGGTGAGATCAAGCTTTCTCTTCAAGGAAGGAAGACAAATTAACATCTAACCCCACCACCGATATGCTTCATTCATCGAGTAGAGAGATGTCAATGTCGCGATGTCATTAAGAGCACTATCTCCAGCGCTTCACGTCTTTCTTCTGTGAGTTTTTCATATGATTCCAAGCTCTCAACTTCGTCACCAATCTAAAGAAGAAAAGTTCTCCACATCAATTCTTTCAATTACAGATTTTCTCAGAAAATCAGTTACAAACTTTCAGAGTCTATAAACCCTCACATTATAGCTTGCATCATAAATATACAGTAATAGGTTTTAGAACTTGTCTACGGAGTGCGGTAGATGAGATACCCTCGGGTAAAAAGAAACTTGAAGGGTCCTAGGATTAATTTGTGCTAGTCCGACAGCCCATGTCACCGAATTCACTCAATGTTATGGACGTCCATATTTGGGGTAAACTTACCATAAGTAAAACACAAATATAGATATAATATCACCGTAATCGGTAAACCTTGGGTTCGGATTTGACCACTCCTTGTTTAAAACTATCCAGGTTCATAGAACCCACAAAAAATACAGTTTTATGAGTACAACAAATTTTTTGGCTAACATTTAATTATTATGGTCCTGCACAACAGAATTTTACTTTCGTTAAGCGATTTGGCCCGTTCACCTCCCATGCCCCCGTGCTGGATGCTTTGCTTCTACTTCCACTCTGCGTTCAATTTTTGAAGTAAGAACTGCCATTTTGATGAGATTGCGTTCTGCGTAGATGACCGCGTTTTGTCCACTCACCCTTCTCAATTCTTGCTGTAAGAAACAGCGTGTACTCGCAGGAAATGTTTCAACGCCCGGGCATTCATCTAAAGCCTCACGCAATACTTGATCTTCCTGTCTGATGCGCTTTAGGAGCCTCGAGCCTCAAGGTCCCTCTCTATTTCAAGCCCTTGAAGCGTAGCCTACAGGTAGTTGTCGTTCTGTATACTTTAATCTGCATTAATTTTGTTACACATAGTTACACTATCATCCAAATTAAAATTTCTGAAGTAGGAACGTGGACGACACTCACGCCCAATGATCAATTTGTAGCACAGAATTTTTGCCTTTGACCGGACTTTGTCCCAATCAGTAGGGCATCACTAGCATACGGAAGTTCATAATCATGGACACAGATTCTCGTTCATACAGATCACAGATCTAAGATCCAATCTCCTTTGCCTCACCACGTCTAGATTTCAGTAAAAGGCTCATTTACGAAGGTTACTGCTTATACCCACGACCTCCCTCTATCTGGATTGAGGTCAGACCCAGAACAGACTTGGTCAAATATGCGATTGACTTCTACAACTACACTAGTGCGTCCGAACGCTGTAGAACCGCGTCCGAACCTGTTTCGATCTGAATGTTCATGACATTTTGATGTATGTTTCCAAGTTGGCCTACAGAAAATCATTGGCCATTTATTAACCCATGGAAAAACAAGTCTCCGGATAGCTCTGGTGCTCCGCGGTGATTGCAAATCCGAGCTGTGATACGTTGTTTATTCACACAGCAACAGGGAGATGGACACGCGTGAGTGTTGTGGAATAGTTGGTTTTAATATCATCCCATCTCACGAGGAAAGCTTGCTCAATCCACTCATACCTCACCAGCGCACGAGAATCAGTAAATCTCAACCTTTTCGTTCGTGAGAATCAGTAAGATTCGGAAGAGAAACAGTGCAGAGAGTTGACCTGCACAATCGAGTATATAGACGCGCACGGAAGGCAGATGTGGCAGGGTATCTACAATCACGCCTTCTGCTTCACGAACTTCGGAACTCTACATCAGATTCTGAGTGGCATGGAAGGTATCGGAGCTATGAGTAACCTCAAACTCATAGCTCTGATAAGCATCGTCGTGCTTGTCTTCACGAGCACCACCTTCCTGGTCGAGAAGGTCGGAGCAGTGGATCAAGATCCCCTTCTAGGTTTCTCTCGAAATGCCACCAGATCAACTGTTAGACGTATCTGTGGAGGTGCTCGGGCTGCTCTGGACATAGAAAACTTCTCGGGCCTCATAGCAATGAATACAATCGACGATCATTTCAGGTTTCAGCATAGACCTTGTAGTTGTAGAAGATGTATCAGCCTCACAACCCGAAGAAGCGCAAATCATCCCCATAGAATACACGAAGGGCTCGAGCGTAATAGAGTAGATTTCCGCACTCCTGGTGCAAATGCAGGTAAAGAGTCAGGTTGGGTTTTTGCGGAGCGAATGTACAAGACGCTTCTGCTGGATTTACAGAACTTCTATCTTTAATACTGGGGCAGATTTCCGACATTTCAAAGGTGCGTATATGAAGTTTGCTTTGTGTCGAGAACTAAGCATTTCGATTGCATGATCGTTAATTCTTTCACGGTGCCTGTCTTGATATGAAGGAATACATGTACAATTGCAAATATATCCATCTTTCGGAAACACCAGAGGAACTCTGCTTGACTCTGCGTGTAAATGTGAATCAGGAGCTGAGGGAGTTCGAGTTGTAGGTAGTATACTTTAGCTTAGAATAATAGGGTGAGCACCAGGCTCCGATGTACATTTGTAGCGCCTGCCTTACAAGGCACTTTCAATTAAAAATCCGTCTGAATTTTACCTCTGCGTATGCTCATCTATCACACTCTGCTGTTACATCTGTTTCAATGATAATGAATAACAGAATGAGAGGCAATGAGGATTATCTCTTGAGAACAATTATAACATCTTTATGGAAATCATATGTTAGTATAACTTCATGACGGTCATAACCCCTGATGTTGGGTTCCTTTAAGGACGTGTAAATGGGTTGCGTCCATCGGTGCTTCCCCATTTTCGTAATCACAATTATATATGCTTTCTCTGGAGTGATCCGAAGGTTGGTGAGAAGACTTTTTCGATTAATTCTTCCGATGCGCCATTACTGTGGTTCTAGGAATTTTGATACGCCTATGACTGCTAATGTTCCTATTTGTAGATACAATCACACGAAAATTATATTCCAGGTATACTTGTACTTTAGTTTGCATTTACTGAAATTGGATTTGTAAGAGATGCCATGTATGAATCTATCTCATACTTCTCTGCATGACGTCCAATCATAATATGAGTGTATAAATGTTGGTTGCAAATTGTGTTTACTTCCATTCTCACCATATTAATTAGAATGTATAAATTCATGAACATTCATATGACGAAACCGTCTCAGGGTTCATGTATTTTTCATCGTTCTCTCTTTTAAATGTTGTTCCACTTTTTAGTGTATGTTATGTGACTATTTGCACTTTTAAATTATGGAGTATCTATCAAATACACAACGTGTTCACTGTACATCTGTCATGATTGAAATTATCCCAAAGATGTGTGATATCCTTCATAATCGCTCTTTACCAAGTGTGATCAAATATTGGAACTTTTCAAGTACATCGTTTAAAGTTCAAAAGTCTGTTGAGTTTTTGAAACTCAATTTCTTCATCCTATTATTACTATATTTTTTCTTCTGAGTATAAACAAAAGGAAAACTACACCACTGATGTAACATAATTGGGTGGAAAAAAAATATCAATCAATAAATTCAAAATCAATCTTGCTATCATTGTTCCATCAAAATACTTATCTACTAAAATATAACAAAAATTAAGCTTTTAATATCCTTGTAATTTACATTTCAAATCGTGAATATCAATCCTCTCATCTTTTCAAATTTTAACCATCCTGCTATATATCATAAATGATAAGAGTTTTAAGTCATAATTTGCATTGAGTTCCTACTAATGAAATTTTCTAACACCTGTATGCTTTAAACCGTCTCTTGATACATATATTTACACAATATTTATATTTTGTGAATTCATCAAGTTTTATTGCATTTGATGAACTCGTAATAGAAATTAGAAAAAGGTTAGAAGAAAAAGGTTCATGAGGTACTTGTAAAGCTAAATGATGTTGTTGCATCAATCTTTAAATAATCATGAGTCACATATGAGATATGTGCATATCTTATTGAAATTTAGTCATATTCATATTTCAGAAGAATAACATGCTCTGAAATAATGATTATCATAATCACCAAAGTCTGTGAGAGAAATGCAAAAGACAAAGTAAAAATGTGCTCTTGAATCGCTTGATTGCAATTTCCATCTTTTCTTCTATATACTCAAACTTCAAATTGTCAAAAAAGATTGTGTTCTTTTATTCTTTAGTATAATTTTAGCATCCTCTACGTTTTCATATTTAAAATAAGAACTGAACGCCATGTACTTCAAATATATGCCTTGAGTGTGTGAGCAGATTATTTTTATAAAGTGAATAGATTGAACTTGGATCGTTTGTATCTTTCGGTCAAAGCTTTTGTTTGAGTAAAAGCTCTGGCTAAAGCTCTTTCTCCTAATATAACGATCAAGGTATGAAAATATAAGCCTATCCTATATTACGTACTTAAAAGAAACGCTTATTTAAATTGATTCAGTCTAAGTTGAAAATTAAATTCTAGAACTAGATGAAAAAGTAATGAAACAGTATTTTTATGAAAACACACTCAAATTTCAGTGTCTACAACAAAGGCTGTTCGCGTTTGTACCCACTCAGATACTGGTTCTGATGTAAAATTATTCTAAAGGCAGAGTTTCTTCTTTGTTCCATTTTTCGATGACAATGCTAAGTTTCTTTAAGAGAAATATTTTTTTTCAGAAAAATTGGATTGACACCAGTGAGACCAAATATTTCAAGCAAATATGTTTTCAAAGATGAAAACTCTAATTAAAGGTCATTCTTCAGTATGCGTTCAGTAAATATCTGAAAAAATTAAGAAGGCAAAAAATGTAATTGTGCATACTATTTCACACTAATTTGCATTCATCCTAGTTGAATATATTGGATCTCATTTTTTATTTTTTTATTATAAATGGAATTTCAATAATAGAAGGTTATTTATTTTATTCATTTATCATAGTTGAAAAATAATTTGAAAATTTGAACCAAGTTATGAATTTTTTTTAAATTCAAAATTCAGTTTTGAATTATTTACGAACTGCTTTAATTAAAGAAACCTAAGAATAAATTTTGGTTCAAAAAAATGCTGTAATTTGTTCCAAATATCTTGATTCATTATACTTAACTGTACTATCCAAATTTTTTGATGATTCTAATTGATGAATACTGTGAAATGTTTGCAGAATTTTACAAATTATCATCTATCATTGAAAAAAATATTAAAGGAGTTTTCAGTGCAATAATACAAAATTTACGTCTTTATTCTCAAATTTATAAGAAGAATTAAATAAAAAAATTTAAACAAGTGGGAAAATTATTTCAATATTTTTTATCATTTTTATTGATTTAAAAAAAAAATTAAAAAAAATAAAAAAAATTCAAAAATTCAAAATTATCTTCAAAATATAAATCTAGCATTTTGAATAGCATAAGAGGATCCAAAATTTTTTTATTAATAATAAATATAGATTATATCTATATTTGATGATATAGGAGTCGTATTCAAATGATGAAAGAAGAAAAAAATATTTATATTTCACGAAATATAATTTTTGATAAACACAATACTTTTTTGAAGACTCATCTTCATAATATATCTAAAGACATCATTGAAACTTTATATATATTGTTTGTGATGAATGTCATGTGATTTTGACATTTATTCGATATTTTAAGAAAAGTTGAGAAAAAAGATGTGGATTCATACATGAATAATTACAACCTAACTAGAAGTTGATTCAAAAAAGAGATAGATCATATGGAATGAACTTAATATGATCTTTTTATTATCATTCATATGCACAATGGGTAGAGATCTTGGATTTATTATATTTTACTTGGAAACGATAGATCTGTAATATGTACTGCTTGTTAGAAATATATTGAGTGTAGATGGAATTCTTTATGTTCCTTGTATATATATATATGAGATACACAAAAACTAACCACCATCCTAATGTATTTAATTATATTCATCAACTCAAATCTCTTCTACTCCTCAAGTCGCCATCATTAACCAGTTTGTGCCTGGCACGCTCTACATTGCAGTTGATTGATTTCTGACGGAGATCGCTTGGTTGATTCTTGATCGCTGTTCTTAGTGAATATCAGAAACACGTTCAGGAGGTTGTTACCCTTTCCGATTCACCTAAATTTAAAAAAAACGAATTTTAAAAGTATCTGAGTAAAAAACGAACAGATGGATACTAATGGTAACCTGATGGAAGTACAGAGTAACACGTCCCGAGACGGCCCCTGACTCATCGATCGACAACCACGTCAACTACCAGGCACTTGGTTTCCTTGATGCACAATACAGGATGAGTGAAGTGAGTTAGGCGTGAGTTGTGGATAAGTCCGTTAGATGTGAGAATAAACGTTCTGTAATGCAACATGCATTAGGTGCAACGACATGCATTAGGTGCAGAAGTATGGGATACAGAGAAGGATCGAGGCAGGTTACACTCTCTTGAAAAGAAGTCTTCTCCGAAGCCTTTCAAACAATCATTTGAAAAAGTAATGTCGTCAGATCAAAGCCAGAGTGTGTGAGAGCAGCTTCATTTTGCAGATGATCGATCGTGATTTCGAGATTTTATTTGACTTGAAACGTTGCATCTCTAAGCTTGATCCTATCTGATGCAGTTAGTGAGCTCCATGGACTAAGCATGTTCGCTTGGGTCAATGAAGTTCTTCAGGTTAGATCTCACACGTGTCTCTTCTTTCCCAGAAGGATAATCTCTCATCTCCCTGCTGTGTTGGTAGCCCAAATGGCTTGATTCGCTGCGTTGTACATGACAGTGTTGCCATCGTCCTGAACCTCGATGTAGTGAGCTCCATCGTTACGCCCCCAAGTTCCCGAAGCCCAGCGTGCAACACCGCCACCGTAGACTACAGCGTTTCCATCATGTTGCAGCTCCATGTAACCGTCCGTGGCGCTACCTTGGGTATTGCTGGCCCACAGAGGTCCGACACCATTGTGATACAGGACCAAATTGCAGTCTGCCTGCATGATAAACCTGTAGACTCCATTTTTGGAATTGACAAACTGTCCGCTACTCAGTCTCATTCCCTGGGTGATGCGATTGCTAGTGGTCGGTGAATTTCCGAAATTGATGGTATACTTAGCTTGGAAGTTGCTCGGATTGTACAATCCCCAGTTCTGCTCTAAGCCAGCAGGCTTCTGATTCTCGTCAAACATTGCAAAAATGTAAGACTGGATTCCCCAGTTAGGCTTCAGTGGCGTTCCTCCGCGAGCTAAGTTCACCAGGTTTTGGTTGTGAATCCGAGCGTTGTTCGTATCTGTGGCAGTGCCTCCTGAAGTGGGCCAGCCGATCTCCCCAACGACCACGCGCATGTTTCCCTGCCCCAATCTTCCCAGAGCTGCATAAACTGCGTCCAGCTGCTGTGCGAGAAGATTCGTATATATCTTGCCATTGTTTGAATCTGTGACGGAGCCAGACTCAAGACGGCCATATTGCAACGTGATTTGCCCATTGGATGATATGTATGTGAAGTAGGGGTAGATGTTGCAGATGAAGTCGGATCCTACCGAGGCCAGCCAGTTCACCAAGGGCTGCATCCTTCCGGTGTCAACAAACTGGCCGTTGGATGGGGGGAAGGTGTTCGTGACGACGTCGAAAGCGTGAGCTGTTGTGACCTTGATCCCACTCTTACCTGCCTGATTCAGCGCCTCTCTCAGATTCTGCATTGAAGGCAGCAGTGCGTTTTTCACGTTGTCCCCCGAAGAAAAGACTTCGTTTCCCACCGTCACGGCGACGATGTTACTGGAGCCATAAGGGACGATGTTGCTGTTGACCCAGGTTCTGGCAGAGCCCACACTTGATAAGGCATTGACGAAATCTTCGTTCGTTATGCCCACGGTGAGTTGAATGCCGCTGTTGGAGAACGCTTGGAGTGTCGCCTGGTAGGTGTGGTAGAGGCGGACGTGGGCGATGCCCAGATCTCGGAACTTCTGAACGACCTGGGTCCTGCTCGGGATGTTGGACCCATCTTCCCCAAAACAGATCCCTGTCCAACCGTCTGCCATAGAATCACGAGAAAATCAGAACTGTACCTGGTATCAACGTTCACCTTGAAAACAATTCAGCTGAAACTATAAATGCAATCGTATCTCATAAGCTTCAAGGTGATCGAACTGCTGAGCAGAGAAATGGTTCTCGATTTCGTCTCTAGAACCTCGAACAGAGGATACCAGATATAGCTCTGAATCAAAGGTCAGGAAGCTTTTTGTTAAGGTGCAAGAGTCAAATACTCACAGGTCAAACCAAATCCGCGGGTCAGAGCACAAACGTATACAATGAACTTTAAGCTCAGACTTTTGGAAAGCAAACTACTCCCATGTCGAGAAGCCATTGATCAGGTGAAAGAATAAGACTGCAGAGACTATTCGCTGCTTTCCAAGTTGCTGTTTCTAGTCACAGACCTTATTACTTATACAGACCGAAAGGCAAGACCTATCCATGTCCTGAGACCTCAGGTCTCAGGACTTTTTCTAAGTCATCTAAGTCGTTAAGGAAACTACACGTCAAGGTGTTAGTGGTCGATGCATGCTGCGGCTCCACGTCCACGTGAAGCCAGAGTGCAAAAAAGACAATACTAGGTTTGACCTTCTTGCTATCGTCTAAGCTGTAGAACATACTTTATCTACATATTATTAAAGAAGTGAAGTATACATTCACTTACACTTACTTGTATTTGCATAAATTCTCAAACTTCTGTTATACTCCAGAACATCTTCGAGTAAAACTACGTTTGGTTCTGTATAAATCAGATCAGCGCTTCCTGAGACTTTGTTCCGATTCCTAGCAGTCAAGTTTCGTGAAGGTACATGTACCGTTGTCTGAAATATACTTCAACTGCAGCAGCGCACGTGTGTGTGACGTCAACAGAAAGTCAATGTATGTGTCGTGCTGGTGCTTTTTTCGAGAAATTCCTACTGACGCGTATATCCACGTTCACTCATGTATCAGCAGATTTACACTTTTTTCCAAAGAATATTTCTACAATACCAAGGGTGATTGATCTTTTAGAAATTCCACCATCCCAAAAACCATCAGCTATATATGGGTAACACTAGGTTACGTTTGTAATAATCAACGTTATCTAAAATAAAACACACAAAACTTAACTAGTATACAATTATACGCACTCTAAGAAAAAGACACAAGAACAGTACAACTTACACTAATTTATAAATCAGAGTTAACATAACAAAGAGTGCCTTCTTTGCATAATCTGATACTTCACAACTTTAGTTGCTGGCATCAGGATTATAGTTCATCCAAGAAGGTGGAACTTGATCACTTTCTGAAATGTGTTGTAAATAAAATTTAAACAACCAAGTCTGAAAGATTTAATCGCAACGTAACTATTTTCAGTCTAGTCTAAGTCCATTTTCCAGAGTCGATGTAAATTCAAATAGAATTGAAGAATAAGAGGAGTGAATAAAACAAACGCTTCTTTTATATGTTGTTTTCTATTGAAAAAACAGAAGAAATTTCCAAAAATCATAAAAAAAAATTCTTTAATAGTTTTTGAAATTCCACTGAGTATAATATATAGCTTTGTAATATGCGAAAATTGAATTCAATATAATCAGTCGACTTTCTATGATATCATGTTCTCCAACTCACCATCATAATGTAAGTGATACTCATTAAACGGATATCATTGATGAGATTAATTTTGCGGAACCATAGGCAATCTTTTTGGTCTTGGGAAGCAAATCAAAATACTACTAGCTGCCAGGAGCCATGGAAACAGGAGTCAGAAATTGGTTCATCTTTCTAGATACTACATAGATACTGCTGGAGTGAATTGGTCTTATCCGGGCTTGATGATTCGAAGGTATACTTCTATTGGGTGCATCAAGTCCTCTTTGATTCAAAAAATGTGGTTCAGAGAGCAGACTCTGTTCCACATTTACAGTTTCATTTTAACATTCCCGATTTAGATCAAGTTGCCTTCACGAAAGCCATGTGGAATCGATTGATATAGGGACAAAACTAGAGACTCCTATTTTATGGACTCTAATAAAAAGGTTTCTCGCTGCACGGAAGGCCAAACCAGACTTCAGAGAAATTCCAACAACGGAAACCATTGGTTTCATCCATGTACGGCTCCCTGGGTTCTTCCCATCGTGTTTTCACCCCATAGCGCCGTTTCCAACAAGTCTACGTGGAAAATATCTCAACAAGTCTTTGGACAACCGTTTGTCCTTTCGTGACAAACTGATCTGTTCCAAGATTGACTAAATGACTACACTTAAGTCAATAGCAGTCAATTGAGCAGAAACGAACGTGAGCTGTGTGACTGCTAAACTTCTGGAGGATAAGAAAGATCTGACCTGGTTCGATTCCAGCACAGAAGTCATGATATAAAACGTGCTTACTGTTCAGATAATATAAATTCAAGGTAGGTCAGAACAGTAAATATTTGAGACTCTCCATCCCATACCTGGTCTGAGAGAAGGTTTATGAACTCAAAAAGGCTGAGACAGGTTTAGCGAGAGAGAATGAATAACAAGGCTTCTTTCTTGGTGAAGCGCAGTGCTCTAGTTAATCTCTATTTAATTTCAATTTTGTTCCATCTTACTAAGAATATTTTGCTTAATGTGATGAGAATTTCGTTTCATTAAAAGTCGTATACTTTCATTGGCTATTTTGAGTATTTTTCGCATAACACAATTTGATGATAAGATTAATAACTATGTGTGAATGTCTTGAACATGGAACGAGGTTCTAAGAGTGGCAGATGAAAACTACTCATCAATTACTTGAATTTGAAGGAAATTTTTCGTGATGATGTTGTGGATATGTGGTGGAACAACACGCAAGAAGAATTCAATTGGGTCCAAGAAATAAATCTACTTAGAAAAATGACATAATCAAAGTACTTACTCACATCAATAGTTGTCACGAAAGTTTATGGAGAGGCAAAGGAGTGAACAGATACAAGATTGGTTGTAGAGTATTAGTTCCTAGTCAAGTGATAACTCATGAGCTAGTCAAGATGAAAAATGGTAGCAAATGAGATAGATTTAGTAAGCATGGGTATATTTCATCAAAGACTGGATTAGAACTTAAAGTAGCTAGTTATACCTCATCCTACTATACTAGGGTGAGGGATAACTAGCCGCTTCCAGTCCAATCTTTGATGGAATATAGCCATGCTTGCTAAATCTAGGTGAAGGATAATTAGCCAAGTCAAGAGTTATTAGGTTGGACCTTTGCCAAGAACCGAGAGCTGGATGCTTGTGCAGAGGCTAGTCTAATACTAACTCGAGAATTTGTTCTTCCACTGATCAGCGCGGAGCGAGCAAAGCTTGATCCAAGCCCCAACCACAGCACCTCTCAGCTTCAAAATTAGCGAGGTCTTCCTCGATAATATCATTTCAGGCTATTGTCACCGGCAAGGGCCCCATCAAGAAGCTATCGAGCCTTGGCTTGTTCGAGCTGAGAACTATGATTGAGCATGATGAATAAACTTTCATTTCAGGCTATTGTCACCGGCAAGGTACTTGTCCTAACTCTTGGCTAATTATCTAGCCTCTCCCTTTCAACACATGGGCTCCCATAATATAGTATCTCATTACCTCAAGGCTGGACATTTTGTGACATTCAACGAGAATCATCCTTCCACTACTTTACCTCTTCCTTTACTTAGAAAGTAGTGGAAGAGGTACAACTTGGGAAACACACCAGCCAACTGTTAGAACAGAGTCCGCTCTGGGCTTCTAGAACAAGAATCCTCCCAAACTACTGGTATCTGAAACCCTCTCATTACAGCGGCAAACGAATCGACGGAGCATCTTGCATCGAAGTGCAGGACGATGGACACAACGTAATCTATATTGCTGCACGTAATGCCTCTGGGCCACGAGCACAGCGGGAGAGTTAAATGAGGAGTTTGAGACGATGGAGCATGAATTCACTACTTGTTTCAACGATCAGGATTTTCTCTTTAATCTGATCTGTAGATCTGTAGGCCCCGTCAAAAAGACAGAGTCAATTCTGAGTTCGAAACGAAATCACAAGAATATCTAGAATTGGAAGTGAACTGGATGCCGAACGAAACATAGTCAGAACTTTCAAGTCGGCAAATAAAATTTGCAACGGGGCAAAGTCACTTCCAATTGATAGTTTTTGTTCCAACGCTCAGATATTGTGTCGTATACTGAAAAACTCGATACTCACTGTTGACGAGCAGATAATTGCCTCAAGATTCAGATCCGAGTCTTTATATCTCTGGGTTTTTACAAACATCTAGAGACCTTGCGAAGTAAACAAAATGCTGTAACCGAGTCTATCATAACTGCAATGGGATTTCACACATGAACTTTGAGATCTGGAGAGAACACCGTTTACCAGATCAAGGGAGAACTTGCGAATCAAGAAGTAGATGGTTCAGTTACTTTCTGATCCGCACTTCGAAGCGCCAATTAACAACAGTGCAGTTTCATCTTCACAAGGAAATTGAGACTTCTTCCAGCCTTCCACGAAGAGCGATGTTGAAATTATGTTCCACCACATTCATTCATCCCCACATTGACCATCGGAAGTGCTTTATGACATTGTAGATACAGTATCCAGAATCAATATCTAAATATGTCCACTGTGCCTTCACACACCGTTGGAGCTGCTTGAGCGACAAGCTTCAGCGTTGCTCGTTACTTGACTTCCAGGAAGCACGGGCAGTCAAAACTTGGTTCGCTTTGGAGACAAGAATAGTGTTCTCTATCAGGTTTGCCTGTCAATGTGCTCAGTAAGGTTCTCAGGAAACATTAAATTTCATGAATATAACTCATTTTTCACTGAAGCTTGAACTTGACGTAGTTTGCTAATTTACTGTGTCAATCCGATCGTCCCTCGTGTCGTCTGCTCGCTGCATTGGGGAAGTCTTGGCTTCTATCAAGGGTCTCATGTGCTTAAATTTCTAGACGGGTCGAGAATGCAGAATGCAGAATCTACGTAGGAGTCTTTGAGAGCATACCAATCACTCACACTCCAAGAAAAAACACTAAAATGTTAGACTGGCTCTGCGTATCATGGCACCGCGTATGAAGCTCATCTCTCTTTCTTTTTGTGTATAATTACAGTGAACATTGAACGTACAGATCTGAAGAACATGATCGATTACGTGGGACGAATTCATCTTTGAGTTTTCATCTACATCATTCACCTCACTTCACATTCAACATGAGTGAGTTCGTAGGAATTCGCAAATCTTATGCAGCCATTTCGACATTACGGTTTTCTTACAGGTGCAAAAGTCTATTCTCTGTCCTCAAGATATGCCTGATTCGATCATACTCCACGGCTAAAACCTCTAAAAACTCCACGGCTGCTTGAAGTATAAACTGATCTCTTTCATAAGTGTTGCAGATGCGT